GAAATTTTTTAATAAAGTCTTAACTAACTAAATTCATTAATAGTTTCAACTAAATTAGTGAACATGTATACGTCTATTTTTTTAAAATTAATGTTATCTGAAGTGGAATATATAGTTATATATCGAAATGTTATCTTTAGTAAAGATTCCTCTATCAACAAATGAATTAGCCAGCTATTTTATTAAATTGGATATATTGAGGGTTGACTATACTGAGACAATATCTACTAATAGTTATATTAAAATAGCTTAATCAATTTTAATATTATTAAAACTATTATTGAATTTTTCTTCCTTTCTTCTTAGTAGAAATCTTTGAATTAAATTAAATGAAACTATTGTTGAAGAGATTCTTCAGAGCTTGAGTTTTCTATTTTCTTCGGTAAATATTTGTAATTTGGATATTTCAATTTATGTAATTCCTTTTCCTTCTTAGCTAATTCATGCCAGTAATTTTTTTCTTCAGGAGGTAATTCTCTCCAACGATTACCGATTTCTCTTGAAACCTGAGAATTAGCTTTGAATGAACCTTGAGTCAACAATAAATCTTTATCACTACCAAAGATTGAGTGATGTAAATGTTGTCTAAAAAGAATAAAAGCATTTCTAGGTCTGGGTATTTTATGACCATTTTCAGTAAAGTTTCTGCATTTCGATGCATGACCTTTACCTTTGCCTTTAGTCTTTTTAGTGACTTTACCAAAAGAATTTATATCTCTTTCTCCATTTACATTATAGTTATTATTCGGTTGAATACTCTGAACAGGAGTATTGGCATATGAGGTAGGTAAAGAAGCAGAACTCACGCTCATACCTCTTTCTTGTGGGGGGGATAAAGACCGTATAGTCATAGCAGAAAAACTATCTCTTGTACCAAAAGTAGTTTTCCTAAATGAATAATTATTTGAATGTTCCACATTCATTGGAATGTTATTATTGTAAGAGTTGTTATTATTTGCATTGTTATTATTTGCATTGTTATTGTAATTACAGTTGTAGTCCATTTGATTATGAAGTGTCACAGGTTTTGAGTTTGTATAACCGTCCACATTTTTATTTATGAAAAAATCATGGTTACTAATTGGTGGTGTTACCATACCAGTGTTAGAATTATTATATAAAGTGTAACTGGTTTGTGGATCTATAGTAGATAATAGATTCTTAATTGAAGGTAATCTAATACTTTCATTAGAACTGATATTATTATTAATTGAATTATTAGAATTATTTGGTGTCATAGTAGTAGTTGTAATATGATTGTTAAAATTAGCGTTGTTATTATTGTTGTTATTTCCGCCCATTACCATCATCATGACTAAGGTTTCTATATGCTCATTTAGAATTAGCTAGGGATTTAGATCAAAAATGTAAATGAAGCTATTATTGTGAATATTTCTATACACCTCTTGATTAGTAAATTAATATTTTTTCTAAATATATATATATGTCTGTATCTCTGTATCTCTCTATATATATAATAGTGTTTCTTGGTCAGAGAATCTAAAGAGTACAAATAAGTGATGATAATGATATTGTATTTATTTATTAATTAGGAAATGTTAATTTCTGTACTGCAGGAGAGGGGAATACGTAAAAGTCTAAAAATTGTCAGAAGGGAAGAATTTTATTATTCCAAAATTTAGAAAGAATTCTTTACATGGTAATTAAAGGGAATTTGGACATTTATATATACTATTTCAATATCCAATTTCATATAATTTGATATCAGATAAAGTATCTAGATGTTGTTTTTTAAAGTTCCAAAAGGTTAAAGAGAAACTTGAGGAGCCTTGTAAGATACGAAAGTAGGAAAGAAAATTGAATGAAATTACATGAAATTACTTGAAATTACTTGAAATGAAATGAAATATATCAATGAAAAGAAAAAGAACCAGAACTAGAAGAACTAGAAGAGATGAATGAAATAGAAAGTATACACGCACACATTCGCAAAGCAAAGACAGTAAAATGAATGTTGTAAATTAGCTAGAGATTTAAAATTTAAATTCAATTATTAGTATTAGTAAAATAAAAGAGAAAGAGAAAGAGGGAGAATTGATGCTAGCACCACCATAGAATTATAATAAGTATTACGAATCAACCTGTTCTTATGTTTCTCTGCACCGAACAATTTAGTAATAACAATAAATTCGTTAATTTAGAGGTACAATTTCATTTCTAACGGTTCAAATAATAACAAGAACGACGGCCACAACCACAACCACGGCTCTAGACAGATATTTTAGAAGGAGAAAACTACAACTACAACTACAACTAAAACTACAACTAAAACTAAAACTAAAACTAAAACCAAAATAAAAATAAAAATAAAAATAAAAATAAAAATAAAAATGATAATAAAAGTATTTCTAAAAAAGAAAGTAAGTACTGAATGAATGAGTACATGCCAAAATGTTTATGGGTTTAAACTTTAATCGTAAAATAAAGAAAACCGCACTGTAATTCAATAATAGTCACCATAACAAGAAAAGAACGAGAAAAGTTGTACAATAATTTATTCATTCATTCATTCATTCATTGAATCAAAAACAATATCTAGTAGACTTTAAAGGAAATGAAAGGGAACGTAAGGTAAGGAAAAGGAAAAGGAAAAGAAATTTATTCTTTTTTTTTTCTTTTACAGTTTTCATTAAATTAACCAACATATATGATGGCAACAACGATAACACTAAGCAGTAATGATACTAATAAGTCTCTTACTGAAGAAATCTTGTATTGCCCAAAACAAGGAAAAACCACAAAATATGTCAAGACAGTGAAGTCAAAGTATGTCCTTTTGAACTTTGAATAAAAATGTACCTAGTTTCTCCGTATACTTATTAAATAAAAGAATATATCTTAAAGCAATTCATATTGTGCTCAATTTCTACTGTATAACAACACTAAAAAATTTAAAAATTCGGTAAACAAAGAAAATGAAAAATTACTTTCCTCTTTAGTTGCCTTTTCCCCCCTGAACAACTAACCATCTATCATTCATCAAGTTTTAACCTCTTGACTTATTCACTTAGAGTATTCTTAACGTTAACTAGCGTATAATGATAAAATCTATGCACAAAGTATATTTGAGGTCAACGAAAGCTGGAAATTGTTGTCCGTCAATTGACCCAGGATATACCAAGCCAAACCAGGCTAAACCAGTCTGAATCGAATTGAACTAGAATAAATTAAATTAAACTAAATTAAATTCACAATATACATTTGTAAATGGCTAAATCAAGACAATCTCAAGAGGAAATGCGAAAAACGAGGAAAGAAAGAAATTAGTTGTAGTACTGAAAATAATGTAGTACTGGACAATATTGACACTGTTAGAATAAAATTTAAAATATTATTACAAATCTTGATCCCTATTGTAGCAGATGTTCGAAGAGAAATGGAAATACTTCTCTTGCTCAAATTATATTATATATTCATACAATATATTATACTAGTTAATAGAATATATAACAAAGAAAAGAAAAGAAGCGGAGCTAATGGGGATAAATGTAAGAGAACATAAAATTTTTCCATCTAGGAACCCATTTTGCAGTAAAAAAAAGTAAGAGGAAGAACTTCATTAATAGAAATCGAGACATTTTAGGAGAGGCGGTGGAAACATATGAACGACATTTATCTGATGTTGCATTGCAAAGTTCTATCAACTAATTTGTGATATGCATCTTGTTTTCTAATCAATTAAAAAATAATAAAAAGAAAAAATCATAATAATGATAATGATAATATAATGGTAAGAATACCTGAAGATGAGTGAATGGAGAGTATCTACAGGCTCTAAGGTATATCAGAACACTCAACGGAAAACATTAAAAATGAAAGGAAAGGAATAGAAAAAGAACTAGATTCAATTAGATTGAAGTAGAAGGCAGTAGAAAACTACAAAAGTTAGGAAAGTTTTATTATAATATTGTGAATGGAAAGGTATTTACCAACTGTTTTTATGCAGAATTGATAACAAAAATAAAATCTTAAAAAAAATAAAAAAATTTAATTAACTTAACTTAACTTGTAAATTGTATGCAGAAGGGGGGAGGGGGAGGGGGACGGGGGAGAGAAGCAAATATGAAAAGGATAAGACGAACATTGTTCAAAGATGAAGAGGTTATGTTTTGTCAAAAATGAAGAAGACAATGAGGTACTAGAATTTGTGATCAAGCTTGGAAAATGTCATGTCGAAAAAAAGGCATTGTCGTCATCGTGGCATCACAATTCATGACACCAGTGAAAAGATCCCAATAATGAAACCTAGTTAAAAGAAATTGGGAGATATCTCCGGAGTGAGCCTTCCTCGCAGTAGTCTGCTAGTATGAAAAAAAGAAAACATCCAATCTAGCACCATCTCAGTCCCATAGAAACGATGAATACGACCAGCTATATTAAATCCGCTATATGGGTATCTATGTATATATTAAATATTTGCTTTAAGAAACTATCGTAAAATACTAACCTCTGCTTAATCAAATAATTAATCCCTGCAGAAAACTGTGTGTTTTTGCATCCATTATCATACCGGCCACCAACAATTACAGTAAGTTACAACAATTTCAAATTTTAATACCAATAGTGAGAACTCAGAGAAAGAAACAATTCATCGTCTTTTCCCTTGTCCTTTATGCATTCCCCCTATTCCAGACATGCAAAGAAAGTAAGAAGAACAGCAACGATTTTGTCAAAAAAAAAAATAAGAAACTGTTGTAGTAGCTGCTGTCAATATTAGCAACAGTTATTGTTGTTGTGCGTTTCCAGTAACTGTTGTTTGATGTATAGGAAATTTTGCTTGCTGAAAGGCAATGTTAAAGGAAAGGAAAGGAACGAAATAAATAAAAAATAATAATGACAAAATAAGCTGAGCTAAGTTGGAGCTGAATTAAATTAAATTAAATTAAATTAAATTAAATTAAATTAAATTAAATTGACAAATCTCTGCAGAACAGGGCGTAAGTGTACTGGCGACAGCTCAGGTTTCCTTTCCCTGTGTCTTTTCGTTCGTTCTATATGCATCAACTGAAAGGGGAAAATGGAGCAAGACCATATGTCAACACTACTTTCCCTTTTGGATTGACTAAACAAGAAAAGAAAATAAGTTTCAAACAAATTTAAACTTTCTTTTTTTTGCCTGAGATCTAATCATTGTCTCTGCGTCGAGCACTGTGGGAAAGGGAACAAAAAGAAATAATCTACGCTGGTATTCTCGAAACAGAGTACCGTGTTCTTTAGAAGGTTACTCTGTGCTGACATGTCTTGCACTTCTGCTTTGTTTTCTAAGTCCTGATCTCATGGTGATGTAACCATTCGTCAACATGATGGAATTCTACGCAACGCCAACTTCGAAAAGAAACAAGGGTTCTGCGGTATATCTTTGTTTCTTTGTCTCGAAAGGAAGTGGAAGGAACTTCCAAGCGTAGGGGAAAAAAGAGAGTTTGGCAAGCATAAAACTTAAGCGGAGCGTGATGTGATAATATGCTATAGTATGAAATTAATAACTGATGTATTGCCAGGCAAAGCAAGTTGTGAAAGCTGAAATACATAAAGGAATAGCTTTTTTTTTTTGTTATGTTTATCGCTGGTTGGTTTCAAGTTAGAAATAGTACTGGAGCCAGAGATGAAATTCGAGAAAAACCGTTCTTAGATTGCTCTAAATCCCTTTTTTCTAGCATTGTTCTTGCCATATTCCCGTTAAAATTTACAGGAAAATAAGAAAAAACATAATAAAAAAAAGATAAAATTAAAGGTTTCATAATAAACAACAATAATAATATTTGAATATTCAGTTTTAGAGAATGGTATCTATTTAGCGATTATATTCATACACTTGTTTTGCGTTCTTATCTCTGGGGCAAGCGACTGAGCAAGACAGAGACAGTATAAAGATCATTTCACCATATGTAACTTACATATTTCAAATGCCACCTATTCACCATAAATTCATGATTCATAGGTGTTACAAAAATGGTATTTTGCCAAATGCTATAAGAAGTACCTCGGTCGTATTTTCTTTGTAACAGTTTTTCTTTTATTATTAGTGATTACTCAAAATACAATTGGAAATTAAATTTATTTAAGGACAATTTTGTTTCTTCTTATTTTTTTTCGTTCTGCTTTAACCTTTATTCATATCCTATTGTTCGTTACATTTCCTATTTTGGAAGCTACTTGATTATCATCTTCTTCAATCATACTCGTTTGTACGGGATATTCACCATTGAATACAAATTTACAAAGATTTAATGTTAGCAATGAAGTTCGTTTTCTATTGATTTATCGAAAACTTAGATGTCGGAGCTCATTCTCCCGAGCAGTGTCGGAGGACATAAAGATATATTTAAAATTGATTCAAATTAAATCGATCGAGAAATGGTAATATACTTTCTATTGGCTAAAGACTGTTTATTTAGTTGTTTTCACTCATTGTTTAAGAAAATAATAATACGCTGGCTTAGTTATCAATAGAGTAAGTAATAATAAGTTAATAAATAAATAAATAAATATATAAATAAATTTGTAAATAAATATGTAAATAAATTTGTAAACATGTAAATAAGCATGAACATAATTGGAAATTGGATAGAGAGAAAGTATAGAAATGCACATTATAAAATGGATAAAATGACCAGGTCTGGATATATCATTTATTCTTTATTTTCAACGCCACTTAAAGCGATTGAATCATGTAAACTTTTCATTATAACGTCTGGGACACCAGGTCCCTTGGCGAAGCCCATACCCCCCATCGTAACTTTATCTCCATACTTGCTGCTAATTAATGATTTCAAATTGTTGGACCATTCGGTATAATTTACAAAGAATCTTGGTAAACCGTTTTTGGCAACCGTGAATTCCCAATGACCATTTTCTAAATCAGTTTTTGAAACATTCAAGTGTCTTGTCAAGAGACTTTTGGAAGTGTTGATCCAATATTTGGAGTCATTGATTTTATTTTCACTTAAGTTTTCGATATAATGACCTCCTAACATTAATGTTAATTTAGTATAATCATTGACAAGGATATTTTCACCTTCTTCAAAAGGTTTGAAATTTTTTTCAATTACAGAATCAAAGATGACACCTAACAGTTTTTCTTTATTTTCATTAATCTGTGGTACTAGATAACCAAACCCCTGCAAGTTCTTTGGTATAACATCTTTATTTGGTAAATAATAATTGATCAAAATGGTACTTACAGATTTAGCTTTTTCTAATTCCTTCTTAATATCATCCTCACCTTCAAATAAATTCTTGATTTTCATTGGATTACTTGTAATCATGACATGATCAAATTCGTAAGTGTTTTTATCTTTATTACTTTGTAACGTTATTCTATTTGTCTTTTTATTCTCATTTAATGAAACTATCTCTTCATTACGTTGAATATGCACATTTGGACTATTTTTAATTAATTGGTCAGCGATCATATTTGGTAAACTTTGTAAACCTCCTAAAATCCCCAACATTGGAAATTCTTTCAATTGTGTATGTAATTTAAAAATTGAACCATTTTCACTATTGAAGTATTTATCGTATTTAACCAAAAATTCATTTGGTTCATTATTAGCCTTTGAATTGAAGAGAGATTTTATAATGGAACCATGCTGCTTTTCAAGGTTATAAAATGCTGGATTAGTTTTCTCTAATGAGATTTTTTTAATATCATCGGCATAAATACCATGATAAATGGCACTTAAAAAATTGTTACTTATAGCGTTAGATGGGCCAAATCTTCTTGATAAAAATTCATGAACAGTTTCATCCTTTGTCAAAGGTTTACTTTTTCTAAAGGGTTCGAATAAGACACTTGACAGTACGTTTTTACCCAAAGGATCTTTGAAAAGTAAATTAAAAGTGTTCATACTAAAAAGTTTATTTGGTACTTGTACGAGTTTGTCATTAGTTGATAATAAAAATTTCCTATTGGCAGTGCAATTCGATTCGATAGTTTGAACTTTTTCTATTTGACCCATTTTTTCAAAAGTATCAATAATAATAGCTGTGCCGGGAGAAGCACCTCTCAAAGTTCTTGGACCCTTCTCTACCATAACTTCTTTACCATTATCATTTTCATCCTTAAAAGTATAGGAATATAACCAACCACCGTTCTTATGTTGGTTATCCAATATAGTTATTCTTAAATCTGGTCTTAATTTATTTAGAAAATAAGCAAAAGTTAAACCTGAAACACCACTCCCAATAACACCCACTGAACCATTGCATTTGACCTTGGCAATAGAATTGATCATACTTGAAATATATAACACAGTGTGGGGGGAGTAACAATAAGTCTTTAAATCACCAAATGTATAAAATATGTTACGGTACTAACGACTAGTCGATGGTTTGAATACGAAGTTAAAGATGGCACGGTAGATATAAATATTTCTATGCCTATGTCAATTTATATATCCATATGAGTTCTGAATCAATTGATTAAATGAACTTGCAAATACTCCTATAACCTTCCTCTCTTGTATAACAAAGCAAACTTTGGCAATTGAGCTGGGATGAACAATCGATCCTAAAGCATCGAACTCGATAGGCTTCAGTTAAATATTTGAACCTCGTTTAATGTCCACCCACTCCATTTTTCAGGCCATTATACTGATCCTACCACCCATCGCCATCTTCAACTAAAAATGAAGAAAAAAAAAAATTTCAATTATGAGAAGGAAAGCTCTTTCACTAATTAAATTTATTGATATTTGAATTTTATTTTTTGTTTGATCCTCTAAGCAATACAGATATAAGAGGCAAATTTGGGTTGTGAATTTCTCTTGTAATCTAATTGAAATTGCTCTTTCTTTCTTTCTATACATAGCATTCTCTCAATACGGCGCCCTCGTTTAGAGGAGTAGCCATTATATCGAATCCTATTTCATTGATCTAAAGCATCATGTGATTAACACGTGATGACAGAGACAACTATTTGTACTAAAGTACCTTTCGAACTCTTATAATCCAATCCAATCCAATCCAATCCAAAATCAGATCAACAAATATATATTGGCTAGCGAGGTGACACCAATTTAAGTTCACTAAAATGATACTACCTAGATATGCTCACTACTGACAGATTTAATATTTTATATTGCAGATATTTAACAGATTTCATTCTACATTCGAGCAGGATGAGATGTGGTGGGTAAAGGATACGTTCAATCAACGATGATAATAATAATTACTGTTTTATGTGTCCCCTTTTCTCTCCTTTTTCTTCCTGTTTGTACTAAAGTCTCTTGTAAAAAGGACTATGAAACAGTTTATCTCATGTATACTGTCCTATTTTTCTTTTTCCTTTCTCTTTCTCTCTCTTTCTTGACATCGATGCATGCCATCGTTTTGTTTCTATCGTGAATGGGGAAGGAGAACAGTGCGTTCAGCTGACTCGAAGAGACACAGCCTAACGAGAAAGGGAAAGTACAGTACCCCTTACAAAGCATGGCTGAAAGAAGGGGGGGGGAGTGTTCATTTTAACACACAATACAAAAGAAAAGCATCTAACTATAAAAAAAAACTACAGGACAGGACACTTTGGAATACACCAGTACTAGTTAACAAAGCGTTACTCACAAACCAGATCACAATACTCAACACTCAATGCTCAATACTACTTTTTTTCTATTCTGTTTTTTTTTTCAACTCATTAAGAATCAAGACAGTCTCTTTCTCTGATTTCTTTTTCTTGGATTTTCCCTCCAGTGCAACTACACAAGATTGACCCCAAACACACACACATCATTACCACCAAATATGTGAAACAAAATAACACATAAGACTGAACCTTCCTATTGATACATAAGTTCTTTTCTTTTATGTTTTGAAGAGTACTAAATGAAATATTTTCTAAAACAACATATACTCTAAAATCTAATGTACACTCTCTTTTTACGCTATCTTCTCCCTTAATGAGAGATGACTTGTTAGAAAAGGGGAATACTTTCTGGCTCCTGTTTGTTCGATGTCCTTTCAACATTAATGGTAACATATAGACGTTGATTTCGTACTAGTATACATCATGAATGAGAATTTGGTCGGAACAATAACGATGACATAGTAACCATTATAGTCTTATTAAAATACTTTAATCAGCAACATTATCGACATCATTACTTTAATGATGTTTTATGCTAAATCGGGGTTCTGGTGTGGTCTTTTCTCTTTGTAGTGGCTGTTATTATTAACAATAATCGTAGTAATTTTAACTTTTCTCTTCCTTGTGTCGTTGGGATTTGTAGAGGAACAGGAGTTGTAAGAAGTATGAGAAGCAGCAGCAATGATAAATATATATATGTGTTATTTTATTATTCCATCCAAATTTAATCGATGTAATGTGTCTTCTCTTTCTCTATCTTGTCTTTATTACTTTTCTTTACTGGTATGGTTTTTTTTAAAGAAATGTCTGTCTCTCTCTGTCTATCTGGCTATCTGTCTATAGTGTTGACACTGACCCACTTGACCTTGGCTTGACTTGGCATAGCCTCAGCATTAGCATTATCCTAGCTGCTATAATAATATACTTAGAGATACACAGTTATTTTTATTGCATTTTTGAAAAAATACAATATGGCATGGTATGAAAGGATTTTTGAGGTCTAAGCATCTAGAATATGAAAATATTTGGAATTTAACTAACCTTTTTTTTGCCAGTACTTAGTTAACTAAGATGTTCACATCACATTGTTGGATTCATCCAATAACACATTTTCATTTTGTTTTGTAAAGTTAATCAATTATAATTAAGTAACTTGACAAATGTAGAAGTTATTTATTACATGTAGTCATATATAACAGAGGCTGGAGACAAAAAGTTTCAAATGGTAACTTGATTTATTCTATCTTTGTTGTATATTATATTATATGTATATATAGACATACATATAGATATATAGATATATATAATAAGAGGTTGAAGTTTTAAGGGTTAGCCTTGCGTTGCTAATTATTTATTATTTTTAATTTAAGAAGCCTCTTTTAAAGCTTGTATCATTGGTATATTGATAAATCAAACAAGCAAACAAGCAAACTGATTTTAAGTTGTTTGGTTTATTTTTTATTTTATCCACCTTTAACTATGAACATTGCAGATAAATATAATGTTATATTAAATAAATTGAAAATTTTATCAGGTACCGATGATTTTGAGTTGGATTCTTTAGATCAGCTTTACTATGAATTTAACAATATCTTTAACCTTCATCCATTTAATCCAAATGCAGAAATTATCCAAGACTGTTTATACTTATTATCCCTTTGTTATTTAAATTTAGGTGAGTTAGAAAAATCAATATCAATATATTCATCAATAGTGGAAATAAAAATACTATTGAATCAATTAAATGATTCAAACTTATTTACATGTTATGATTTGTCCCCATTGAAAAGAAGATTAGATGAAATCGATGATATATTAGAAGCAGATTATAGTTTGCTTCAAGAATGTGAAGAAAATGACAATGAGGATAATGAGGATAATGAGGATAATGATGAGAATATACAGGGTGTTAATGAAATAGGAGGAAATTCTGGAGATATTCCTACCCCTCAAACAAGTTATGATTATGAAAATGGTAAACTTCAAAAATGTGACGACAGCAATTTGAAAAAATATATATTCCAAGAATTAGATGATTGTTACAAAGTCCATAATGTCATTGAATTGAAAACCGATAACATTGATGTCAATCTATCTTCTCTATTGGATAAAGTTTTGGTGGTTCGAAAAGACTTGTTGTACATAGTATTTTCAAGAGTTAAATCAGTGTTTCCTCAATGTTTTGTATTGAAGGATCCAAATCATATGTCAAATTCAACTTTTGATAAAAAACTTAATGAAATTCAACGGAATTTAGATGTCATTAAAGAAAAGAATACTGAATATGATGAAGGTCAGTCTCAAAGAAATAAAAATGAAGGGAATATTAATGGACAGAGAATTTTAAATGGACTCGTTGATTACTGTCAAGAAGTAATACATGATGTAAAATTGCTTGCTATTGATAAAATAGATGATGAGAAAAAAGCAAATTTGTTTGAGAAATCGTTATTATTGAAAATAAAATTAGAAACCATTTTGGTTACCAATAGGCATTCACTAAAAAGTTTGGATTTATTTAATCTTCACAAAGAATTGTCAAAGCTTGAAAAACGAACTATCAGACACTACAACATCTGAGGACAGTTTCCAGGCTAAATCAATTATCATATTTTTCCTAAGAAGATGTCATTGCATTATATATAAGATTTTGGAAAGTTCTGAACCAGTTCCCCATTGTCTGAGACCATTGTATAATCAACTTTCTACACTCGCAAGATACTTATTGAAATTAAAGATAGCTGGTGGTGTGGAAAAAATGGATGATTTATTACCAGTGGAATTAAAATTAAATAATATAATTGATCGTAGAATTAATGAAAATTTCCCAGATGAAAGTGGTAATATACCAGGAGGTCAAAGAGCATTAAATGCTCTATTACATGAATGTATGGAGTTGCTTAAGATATTGGAGATAGATTTTGAAGGACGTACAAGGGAAATTGAAAAGATTTAGAATGAGATAAAATAAAACATATAAAGAAAAAAGGTTTCAAAATTTTATTATCTGCTAGTATGTGATTTTAGACCTTATGATGAAAAAGGAATGTCAGGCATAGTGTATGATTTATTAGAAAGACAACTTCATAAGCTTTTTAAGTTTTGAACTCATTCGAAGTTTCAAATATTAATTTTCATATATCCTAATTCTGATTCATTCACTTCTCTCAGCTGAACTAAGCAATAATTCTACAAATTAGAAAGGCTATTTAGTAATTATTCTTTATATTTTATATTTTATATTTTAAAGTTGTACTACAAAGTGTCTCTTTTCTATATCATTATTATTATGTCAATAAATCATACATATTCCGGATATTTTTGCATAATATTTTAAACCGCATTTAGAGAAGAATCCGTTACCCATAAAGTGATAAAAAATATAAAGTGGGAAAAAGTTTGGAATAGAAAGATTTTAAGATCTAGTTGTGTATCTTTAAATTGTGTTATCTGTCTGTAACTTTTGGAGATATCGAGAATATCATATTAGAATTGAGTATTAAAAAGTATGGTTGCTGTTCGTAGGTCAACAAGAATTGCTAATTCTAAGAGGAAGCTTGAAGCAGATGAGGCTGAAAGAGATGTTGCTTCAAAATCAGGGGAGGAAACCACTTCATCGAAGAAATTGAAGAAAGAAAAAGATGTCAGAGTCACTAAGGTTGATGATAAAGAATCTAAAGCTGAGAATAAACCTTCTGGAATTAAGGAAGTTGAGATAGGTGATGAAATTCCAGATTTAGAATTAGAAAATCAGGATGGGGTCAAGATATCCCTAAGACAGCTTGCTAAAGATAACAATATTTTAGTATTTTTTGCTTATCCAAGAGCTATGACACCTGGATGTACTCGTCAAGCATGTGGGTTTAGAGATACTTATGATGACTTGAAAAAACATGCTGCGGTATTTGGTTTAAGTGCTGATTCAACACATTCTCAAAAGAAATTTCAAGACAAGTATAGTTTACCTTATGATTTACTAAGTGATCCTAAGAGAGAATTCATTGGATTGCTAGGTGCCAAAAAGACACCTCAGTCTGGTATCATTAGATCACACTTCATTTTTGTTGATGGTAAACTAAGGTTCAAGAGAATTAAGATTTCACCAGAAATAAGTGTAAACGACGGTAAAAAGGAAGTTTTAGAAATTGTCGAAGAGTTTAGTAAATGAGTTCAGAATCTTATTTTCCAAACTTATTATTATTGTTGTTAAATTTATCTCTTTTGATATTCTACATGTGCAATCTCTTTTAGTTTTTTATTGAAATAACTTTTTACTTTTGTATATTAACATTGTATGATTTTAAACGTTTGATATCCTTATATTTTATTATCCATTGTAAGATTGTTAAACTAAAAAGTATACGGTATTTTAGTATATAAATATCATTACTGATGTTCATTGTTTATTTATCGAATTGTGTAATCGTCTCCACTCTGTGTGATATATCTTACCCAAGGGAAACTCTTATATTGAAGTTTTGGCTCATTAATTTTCAAATATCTTACTTGAATACCAGATGTCGTAAAATAGGGAATTTGGAATTTGATTTGAACAGGTCTTTTAACCTTTGGTGGCTCTATTCCATCAACTGAAGGTAATCCGAGTTGAGCAGTCATGGAATATTCTTTACCGCCAGCAAAACTTCTTAATTTCCATAATATTGCATTCTTTTCAGGTAACCATTTGATTGAGCCATGAGAGTACTTAAATGTTGGGGTATCAGCATCATCTGGAACCGGGATTAGTATTTCTACGTTATTTGCAATAGATTTTTTCTTTATCTGAGCCTTTGCTCTACAATGAATTTCAATTCTAGATTTTGAATGCACTTGGATATTGATATCACACCATATTAATGGTTTTATAGGAGTGGTTAATCTATAATTCATTAATTCGAATTCACCATCAGGTGGAATAAATGTAATAATCTTTTCATTTTCAAATTTACTTAAGCGAACACATTGATGGAATTTCAAATCTTCAAGTTCAATATTTGATTTTTTTCCATTAGTGGTTGAATCATCGTTAATTATCTGGACCGGTTTAGAGAAATCTTCTTCATTTTCCAAGTACTTAGAAAATATCCCTTTATCATTAATTCCAAGCTTCAAATCAGGCATGCCAGATAAACGAGATTTAACTTTAACTTCACCAATAATTTCCGATCTTAATACTTGACCCTGCTGGTTCATCAACATATTGATTGATTCTATTATATCTAGATATGCTTCATTTTTTTTATATTTGATGCCTTCTTGTCTCCAACTCACAGAGTTGGTTAATGCAACTGGTGGTCTTGCAGCGTTTCTCTTTTTTTTAGCAGCTTTTATAAGTTTGAATGACTTTTGAGTTATATATTGCTTTAACATCTTTGTTTCTGTTATCTGTGGTATACCATAATCCATCATTTCATCTAACAATTCATAAATAATGACAAAATTATCTCTTATCGATTCTTCTTCTACAGATTTCAAATAATCTCCTAAAACAGAAACCAATTGATGTAAAAACATGAAAATCTGTGCAATATTTGTTTGATAAGAAGTTGTTAAAGCAACAACATATATATCTGAATGCTGAATAAATAAATAATGAATACCTTGATAAAGCAGACAAGGTGGTACTACACTTGATTCTTCTTCATGTTCTAATAAAATCTGTGAAAATTTATCAATTGCACTTAATGGAATGTCATCTCTATATCTTCTAGATAAAATAGGCTTACCCGATGCATCACAAAAGTAAACACCAGAAACCATCTTGAAAATATCCTCTCAGTAGTGTTGTTAATTAATTGTATGATAAATCAATTATTGTTCTTGTTCTTGTAAAGTATTGGGTGGATTCACTATAAGAAAGAATTCTGAAAAATCGTAGTCAAAAAATTATTTGATTAGGTTACACTAATTCCTTATTCTTCTTTCTCAATACGAAAATGTTTATTTCTGTTTTTTGGTAGTCTTTATTAAATTTGTCAATTTCCAAAAATACACTAAATCAACTCACTTAGATAGAAAGAGAAAATAAAACGCTAAACAGGACTCTATTCTGGCTTCACCAAATAAAACACCTTGGAATAATATCAAAATAGTTAGTTTACTTTCGACTACAACAAACTATCCTTAGTTATATCTTACTTCCTTTAATTAAATCTCTATCGAATAAAGACAAAAAGAGTTTAAATTTTTCGAAAACCTTTAATTTTTATTTTTTAATGCTTGTTTTGGATTTTTTTAGTGTACAAGGAAAAAATTATTTAAATATTGAGTTGAAAAGAGAGAGTGATGATAATAAGAGAAGTTCATAATAATTTCTATTATTAGTTTTAATTATTGATATTTTGATATCATCCTGTTCTTTACGAGTTTTATTTGAACTTGGAGTTGAGTATGGATAAAACATAATGTTGAGTCAGAAATTCCGAAAACAAATTGAATCCATTGATAAAGCAATAATTATTCTTATTGGTGAATTTTATTAAAAAGATAAAGTTCTAACTTTGAGATGGATAGAGAATCAGATAAAACTACTAAGCAAGAAATTGTTTATAAATTATTATTATTATTAATATTGTTATTTAAATTTAGGAGACCGGGTTGACAGAGTAGTGAATTACGGAGTTTGGCAGTATTAATTTCTCTTTCTCCTATTCTTCATTCTTCTTTCATTGTACACTTAAAGATTATTTATTATATATCCAGTCAAATTTTTCAAACGATTTAATTTGACTCCAATCGAACATACGAGCTTGATTAATTGAGAGAACTGGATAAAGACTATTCTTGTTACAGATAGATGATAAATCTAATTTATATAATTCTTTAATTTCCCAATACGTCATAAATTTAAGCTTACAATCGCCAATTAAGAATAGACAATTTATAGTATTCTCAGTTATTCTTGAATTATATAGTCTTTCAAAGCTTGAAACACAATTTGAAGTAAACTCAACTAAGTACTTGGAATTTCCTATCTCGTATTGATGCATAAACAGAATAGTCTACTACATTAAAAAAATTGGTTACTTTTGCAAAATGATATGGCTTTTTTATAATTAAATTTATAACAGAGGACATATATGACTGGGAATCATTGAATCCATACTCATCAAGTATTGGAATAACTTCACCAGTATTATCATAATTTCTATCTATAATTAAATCAATCCATTCTTGTAAATAAGTTGAGTCAACACAACTGGATTTATTTGATGGTAGTATAATCTTAGGCATATTGTATTGAACTGAGAACTATTATTATTTAATGAATTAAAATTCTAATCATCTAGGAAATATTGTATATTGAGCACAATGGAGTTTCGAACTTTGATAATCTTAGTAAGCTGCTTAACGAAAACTGCCACTACAGATAAAAGATAGATCCTAAGCCAATTGAATTACCAGTTCATTGGAAGTTACTGATATTTCTTTAAAAAAGGTTAATAATAAGTATATTAACAATTTATATATTCTTGTACACATTAACTCGTTATATACCCAGTATGAAGATAGTACATAGTGGTACAGATATAAAAAAACTATCCAATTCAATACTGGTTACTATAATGAAAAAAAAAAGAAAATGAAATCAAAAAATACTCCGCGACGGGGAATTGAACCCCGATCTGGCACGCGACAAGCGCCCATTCTGACCATTAAACTATCGCGGAATTTGAGAAGATGAAGAAACAAAGCACTCACGGTGGGGGTCGAACCCACAATCTTCTGATTAGAAGTCAGACGCGTTGCCATTACGCCACGCGAGCTTAATTTCTTGGAGTTTTTGAAAAAAAGATGTATATTATAAATGAAATAAATAATCACGTGTAAAAACTTGAATGTATTATTTCAAGGTTACATCGTACGAACCTTGATAATGTCGGGATGTAATTCGTTACAATAAATGGTGTCATATTATCAATATTGCTATTTAAAGAGATCATTGTACATTATTGTATATTATTGTATATTATTTAGTATCTTACTTTGTACATAAAAGATATATAGAAATTTATTATTATTAACAAGTATATTTACTTTAACCTACAGATCTCCACCCTTAAGATCCTATAGAATAAACGCCTACCAGCCTTCATTCTAACGTATACCAAATTCAATATACAACTAAATAATAATAAAGGCCAAATAATACATGAATGTATTATTTCGAGACTACTTTGTACGAACCTTGACAGTAAAGACATGTAAAGACATGTGTGTCATTACAAGTTGTTGCTTCCATACTATTAACATTGATATTTAAAGAGACTATTGTATATTATTGTATATTATTGTATATTATTGTATATTATTGTATATTATTTAGTATCTAACTTTGCACAACAAAAGAATAGAATTACATTATTACTAACAAGTATATTAACTTTAGCTTACAGATCTCAACCCTTAAGATCCTATAGAATAAACGCCTAACAGCCTTCATTCTAACGTAAAACGAATTAAACATACAACTAAGTAATAATTAAAAGCATTATTAAGAGGCCAATCAATACAAAATCTTACATTACCTACTGAACTACCTCTATCTGCAATTTTATCTAATTATAGTTAATTGTATAGTTCATAACGTTTTGTAAAACTTTAGGTTTACTATATAATAGTCTCCCTTATGAATAAATTGACGCCCATTCATATCATGGGCTTTTGTTCTTGTATTTCTTATTTCTAATTTCTAATTTCTAATTTCTAATTTCTAATTTCTAATTTCTAATTTCTTAGCTCTTCTTTAGATAAGAGAAATATAGTCTATTGTTTATACTAATTTAGTTAGTTAGTTAGTTAGTTAGTTATTTGACGGTTTATTTGACGGTTTTAAAATTAGTGTTCATAATTTTATCACAGTTAATTATATAATTTGTATCCTCCCTCTAAGCTACTAAGTGTTTTAAACTAAAATATAGGGAATATATTTCAAGGTTTACAGGATTTGTTATGACGCAAGAAATAGTATTTATTGAAATAACAATGTACAATCAAATATCACTAGCCCAATAAGTTATTGATATTATTATTAATATCAGGATATAATGAGCACTTATAATAAGTAACCAATATAAAGCAAATGAATCATTGGGAGTGAATTGAAAAGGTATAATTAATAAAATAGATTAATAATACTAAGATTATGGAATTGGATATAAACATATAAAAGAACATGATATTTTTGAATATCTAAGTATCATCTGTCCAAAATATTAATATATATTTATTTAGTGCATTTATAAGACATCATAGAGAAATACATATTATTATAACTTCAGAATCATCTTAAACAATATAACCAAAATGAATAATTCAGATATTAAATATTCCTCTGAACAGTGTCAGTTTGGTAGTCCCAAGTAAAATATTGTTGTGACCTAAAATATAGGTAATATAGTGGTAGGTACACATGATATTGTCGTGACGCAATGTTTGACAATTGCCGCGGTGACAATATATGTTCCAATATTACTAAATCAATGGATTATTAATATGATTATTAATATCAGGATACAATTAGAAATTACATTACGCACTTATGATTAGTAATGATGATCAGCAATCATAATAAGTAATTATGATTAGTAATAACAATCAGTGATTATAATTAGTAATTATAAAAAGTAATTATAAAAAGAAACTATAACCAAGGAATTGACAACGATCAATTGTATCAGCGGTAGTGAAGTGCAAAGGAATTATTGATAATTAATTAATAATACTAAGATTATGAAATTGGATCTAACCATATAAAAAGGACATGATATTTTGGAATATCAAAATATCATTTGTCCAATTTATTATTATATATTTATTTAGTTCATTTATAAGACAGTACGGAGAAATAAATAAATATTACTATTACTTCAAAATTTATCTTAGATATAAATCACCAAATGAATCACTCAGATATTAAGTTAACATCTGAACAAATATAGGATTCCTTAGAAGATTATTGTAACTCAAGAAAGGTAGAACTCCTAGTCATTAAAAGTAACTATTTTAGTATAAATGATATTAACTTTTCTTTCCTTGATCAACAAAACTATTTCTTTGTTTACTACTCTAAAAATAAATTTTATATTTTGTTACAAACAGAATTGATGACAAAAAATAATTATTAGTACCAGTTTTAAATATAAGAACTAAATATTATAGTTGTTCAAAGTTCTTGTACGAATACAACTTGTAGCAATTATAATTAGTAATTTCTTTTCAGCCCTAACTAAACATAGTCATACAGTTTAACAACATAACTCAAAAACTCAAGTAAGTGATTACTAATTTGCCAAATTTTCATTAACCGAAATTGCGTTAGGCCGAATTCACCTTATCAGACCTTAACCGATAATATTTATCGAGATTTTAATCTATGAATTCTTTTTTCAATTGAACTCTCTTGGTCCTTTCTACTTACCATTCGAAGAATTTTATTGAGTAAAATTCTCCCTGTTACCTTATATTTTAAATACATAGTTCCAGAATAAATGTTATAACTTATTAATACTTATGCCTTGCATTTTTGTCAAATAGCTTGCTCTTTCTAACATTAAAATTTAAAGCTTTAAATAGAAATACTATAATTGATTTAATATTAGAGTATCTTTAGATATACTGTTGAGTTGAGACATTTTTTCCCCTACTTGGTTTATATCCATAATATCTTCTTTCCAATTAAAGGTTAAAACTATGTGGAGGATATATATTATATACTTAAAAGTACTGAACTATTTGCGCTGATTGTAATAGTGCCATAAACGTGTCGTAAATAGTATTTATGACTACCTCTATTTTCATTTAGCTAATTACAATTATTGTGGTATTCCATTTCCTTTATCCATGTTATAGATAAGGTCACTATCTGAGAGACGAAAGTCTTATGGAGTTACTCTAATAATATAATCCCAAGACTTAGTATTGCTAACCAAATCTAATAATTTGTATATCTTTTGCTATCAATCATAAAATTTGTTTCGGCAACTTTTGGAACCATTACTCTGTCGCTGGCAATAGTTCAGTTGTCATAAACGACTATCGATACAATAATCAATATTGTAAGAATTGAAATTATTAATATTTTAATATCCTATCAAGTTTACTTTTCATTATATCAATATATAGTAATTGAATATTCTTAAAGGATGTATATAATATATCACCCAATAATAGCATTTTAGCTGATAACAACATTCTTACTGTTTATGGTTTATGTAATACTTCAGTTTTGAACATTATGTCGCAGAGAACTTATACTCAAATTTTCAGTCATGTCAGATAAATTTTTGGAGACAGCATTCTCCATTCTAAGATGAATAGAATATAAAAACTTTTCGGAAGTCAGAAAGAAGCTTGATAAAACTAATAGAAAGTTATCTATAAAAAATAATATAAGAGTAGTGATTTTTATGAAGAACCACTAGCCATATATTAGAGCTTCAACTGAAAAAGAAACCTATCTAAATAATCATAATATTCTTATTATGAATTATGCTTATTGATTATTGTCTGTTTAAACACAATCAAATAAAAATAGAAGTGTTGTGTTTATTGTAATATTTATAATCAGTAAAAAGTACTAAAGAAGTAACAATGAAATATGTTATATTTTTGCATATTTTCTTCTCTTTAAGGTAAATTAAGTCTTTATATAAGCACATTTAAGAAATTCTGCAATTATTCTTTTTAACTCTTTGACCGCGGTATTATCTCCCATGACCTGTTGAAAGACTTTTATTTGGTGAAGAATGGAAACAGCTATATTTAAGTTTGACTTAAAATTTTTATTTAATTTATTGAAGATTCTTACTAAATTGGAGCTTTGAGAGATTATTTAGTACATAACTGGATCATAATAATTATAATACAATACAATATGTGAAAATGGAACGGTAGCAACTTAAAACTATTAATATTATTATAAAAATACTAGAAACGAATTTTATACTTGAAAAAGAATATTAAAAAATTTGTTACTTATGCATATTTATATTCAATATACTTACTATTCTCCAAATGTTCCATTAAGAGGACAGCTAACAATATAGTCTTTAGTGGATTCCTTTAAGTTATCTTCGCAATAGTGAAATCCTACTTTATTTTATAAAAGATATAGTGTGTGTAGAGACCATTTTTGGATTTCATTATTAGTTTCTTCAGCTTCCGGTTATTTAACTGATCAATAGAATTCTTCTTGGTTACAAACGCAAAGCTAATATTCAAGAGATGACACATCGAATTACAATTATTAAATGTAATATCTAAAGAAAATAAATTAAAAATTTAATTACCTTGACTCCACCAAACAAAGTAGATTATCTATAATTTTGTATTTCGAATAAGATATAATTTTAATTTAGGTTTAGAGTTTTGAATTCTTTTTTCATCTCATTGCATTTATTTAATATCATCAAAATAAGATTGAAAATGCAATAAAGAAAGAAATAATCTACTACTTTTTAGATAAAACAATTTTTTAAATCAATAATAAACCTCTCAATATGTAACAAGAAGGCTTCTGAATAATTACATTTCGAATTATTTTTTGTATTTTTACATCATACATTAGTGGCGCTAATTATTCCTTAATGTAAAAAGAGAACTATCTTCTTTTTGAGATGTAATAACAATAATGAACAAGCTAATCTGAGAATTTCCATTATATCGAGAAGAATATTAATATTTGTGATCCTGAAGTTGATAAAATAGTCAAGAATTGTCAACTATTCCAATTATTATTTACTTTTTTTCAATTCAATTCAATTCAATAATTTCTAGAATCTTTTGGTATATGTTATTTTCTAAAATATGGGCAATCGCATTTGTAGATCCAATTACTTACATATAATACTCATTACGGTTTGCTACAACTATGTCCAGAAACATATTTTTGCAGGACCAGTTTCCACAAATTTTAATTAGCTACAAATATAGTAGTATATGGCTTTTTTAGTTTTATTTTTTGCCATACTTACTAATAAGAACAAAATAAAATAATTCTGAAGTGTGCAATGATGTTGTTCGATATATATAAGTTTATCACAGACGATTCATATTTCAGTAATTATTTCTGGTTATAAGTTCACCAAAAGAGATAAATATCATCTTACTTGAAATTGAATGTTATGTAGTTGTAAAATGCAAAATATGATCACTTAATAAATAAAACAAATAAATTACTGTTGATGATAGCTTGCTACACACGATTTCTTGGATTCAAAATTAACTAATTACTTTACAGAATATAGCATATTGTATTTAGATAAGCATCGTTACTAATGTATAATTGATTAGTACTTGATTTTATGATCTTGATGTTTAACACCAAATTTCTCTCAAATCAATTAGTTACTTACTTAGAACCAAATCACATGATTCAAATATTTATTACAAGCTTCCTTGAAGTAGACTACCATTTACATCACAGAATTGAAACATTTCATACTTTCTTATCTTTAATTTTAATCGTTAATATCTGTTCGGAAAAATTATTAATTTAGAAATAGGAAATTATTTTAACTCAAATTTATTAAAATAATAAAACAAGAAAACAAAAAATTGAAAAATGAACACGTGCAAGACATCATAAACAAATTATATAACAGAACTGAAAAGTACTATATGTGATTTATTAGAGTTATACAATATTTATTCTAAAAATTTCCATTGAGAACATTCAAAGTTGGCATAGCATCTAAATTCATTACTTAGACCATTACCATGTTCTGGATAAAAATTTGTTATTCTTGTATCAGGATACGCCTCTTTGATAATATTGGCCATTCTTTCCCCAGTACATGAAATCAAACGATGTTTTTCAACTCCATGTCTTGTCTTTTTACCATCATTTTTGGCTAACAATGTGTGTGCAGTAATAGAAGCTAGTTTTGAATAATAATTTCTGTTAGTAATCTCTTGAAGATAATAGAAAATAATAAAGTACAAAATATATTACACATACATTTTTTTTGACAATTTTCGTTTAAAAATGGTGGATCAATTAAAAGTCTATCAACTTTCCCCTTTAACTTATCATCAAACTCTGTCGGATTAGCGAAATCATAGAAGAAAAAATGTTCTTTACCTGCCAATAATTCAAATCTCTTATCGAATTCAAATAAATAAATATGTTCAGTGAGAACTTTTGAAGGGTCTAATTTCAATATTGCTGCATATACAGAAGGTGCGCTTACAATAGCTATTACAGTATCTTCATTTGCACCTTCTACCAATGCTTCAGCTAATGTTTCAGCTGTTTTATCGCTATACCAAAATTGAGACAATTGCCAATCTTCTTTAAATAATTTCATACCCTCTTCCCTTTTTTTCTTCTCAAATTCGTCGTCAGCATTATTATATAACTTTTGGAATTCAGATTGACGCTCACTTTCTTCATTTCTAAATTCTTGTAAAGCAGCTAAGGCATGAGAGGATAAAGTTCTGGTCTTGGCATGTTAGTAAGCTTTTATGAAAGTTGCGCAGAAAACCTTCTAAACTATTACATACAATTCAATATCAGAATCAGAGTCTGTCATATTGCTAGAATCTGTTATGTATTTAATGCCTTTTTACTTTCATTTTCTTTCTATTAATCTTAATGAAATTTAGCTAGATAGTGCATTGATTTTTTTTAAGTTAATTTTATTAGGAATTGTTAGGTCGAAATATTTTTTACCGAAGAAAAATAGAATGAAAATAGAAAATGCTTTAAGAGATTTAAAAATAATGAGATGCATGCATATGCTATTTTATTAATATTCACAAAAAGAATATTTAAGTTAATATTTATAGTACATAATGAAAAAAACCTTGATGTTACATATAAAATAAATCATTATTGTTTCTTATTATAATTGCCTTGACAACTTAGACATTGATAGTTTTTAGATTTTTGCCCCAGATTTTGTAGGCATTGTCTATGAAATCCATGGCCACAATGGAAAACAATCAACGATTCTTTATGTACTGGTTCCTTATCTTCAATTGTGACATCTTGTTTCCTATTCCCCTCCCAGCAAAGATATATTGAGTTATTAATATTACTCCCACATATAAATTTCCCACAAATCTCACATACATATTCCTTTAATACCCATCCTTCCTCTAATTTATCCTTATACTGATGCATAATTTCAAATGAACTTACCTCCAAGATTTGAGCAACTACTTTGGATATTTCTTTCTCTAATTTGTAAGAATTAAATATATCTTCTAATAAATCCCTGACAATTTTTGCCTTTATGAATATCACATCTTGATTTTCTAAAACAGAGGTTAATATATGACAAAATTCATTTATATTTTCACTCGATTTTGAAGTCTCTGTCATGGCCAAATTAATAAAAAGATGTTGCAAAGATTTGTTGCAAAGGTCTCTTTTGGTGCTATTTGTTGGAAGTTTCCCATATAATACCATAAGACATACAATTAGCTGAGACCAGCATAAATCCTTTTCAGGACCTGAACAGCTTGAGGCTGATAATACAGCAGTCTCAATATAATATGAAAGATCATCAGGTGTGTTTTTGTCCTCCGAGAACCATATTCGAATACACTTAATCATCTCATTTACAACCTCAATGTGATTTTTCAGTTTCTTTTGTAAAGCGGCTATTATCTCGTGATCCTTTACATTCTCTACATAATGCAGCATTTCGTGTAGCTCTGTCGTCGACACCTCCAAATTTTGGATCCATAGAATTAATTCTTTAGTGTTCTTTAACTTGCAAGATAAGTATAGGAGCTGTTTTCTTAGTTCAGGAGGAATATATTCTACTGAAACATGTCCATCGAATAATTTTTCTAGATATTGAAGTTGGGTGTTTTCATTTTGTAGCAACTTAACGTTTAAATGAAGGAGATTATCAAATTTACCAAAAATTTCTACGGAAGTCTCAACACCCATCTTTTCAACTAAGACATCGAACTTTTCTGACAAAAAGGGTATTAGACGCGCCCTTTCAAGTGAATTATTCTCTGTTTTTTCCAGTATATTTAACATTATTTTTACCCAATTGTTTCCATATTCGTACTCAATATTTTTTGATGAAATTAAAAGATTTAACAATTCGACAAATTGATGAGTCTTGGTAAACATTTTGTACAGAATACGATTAAAGTTCAATGCTTTTATTTCTGATATAAAATTGTTTAAATTGGGTGGCACATAAATAGTTAATAGTGATTCTAAAGAAATCTCAAGTTCATCATGCAATTCGTCTGTGATTGAATTTACTATAGTGTCAGATATTAGTTCCAAAAAAGTATTTGAAACTTTAATAAACTGAGGATAACTGGGAATATTTTTAGATAAAAATATCGCCAAATAATATTTCTGTAAATGATCTCTTGTATCCTTCAAAATATCAATAATGATATCAACTATGTATTGACGACTAACCCACATTTGGTGTTCGTTATGATATAATTCAAACCTATCTTCATTCAAAAGCTCGTCCTCTTGAAAAAATACGGATAGCACATCAAGAAACCCAGCGCAGTCATAACGAAGTAATAGATTGAAATATGGGTAAACTGGTTCATCTTCAAAATTGATTAAAGTATGCAATTTTTCTGAACTTCCATATGGCCATTCGATTAATGTTGCATTAAAAAGTATATAATTCAACTCTAGTTTAGAACGTAACATATTTTTTGATGGCACGGCCTCATTAGATGAATATTGAATTCCTCGGATTATTGATTTTATATATTCAAACACTTTTTTGTATTCATCTTCATTCATATATGGAAATATTGAGGTTTTATTGTGTAATTGAGAAATACTTGAAATGAATGAGATAAAAGGGCTTACATAATCTTGGAAAATAACGTTCCAAATATAAATCAATGTATCTGTGAGTTTAAATTCATTGCAAATTCTTACAGCGAGGTCGACATCTAGAGTAGATGGATCGAGAATGATTATTAAGTTTTTCATTTGCTCTTTCCTTCCCTCTTTTGCATAATATTGTAAAACTGATTGAAATACTGAAGCCGGGAGAGATTTCAGTGTACCATTGTTTAAATTTTCTATAATAACATCATAAAATACACTTATATCTCCACCTTTCTGTTTACCATAAAATTCAATGGATTGTTCCAACAGTGAAGTTCTTAATTGATCTTGTACTTCTAGATCTTTGAACATATTGGCAACCCTTAGTATAATGGTCATCAACCTGTATAGTTCATCAGAACTTGTCTCGTCTCTTTTAAGGATAAATCGCATAGAAGCTAATGATAGATTTAGGAATGGTAATTTTAACTGTGCCTGTCTTGATTCTAGAGATTCATTTAGTCTAAAAAGTAGAGATAAGGGGAAATATGGTTGCAAACAGGCCTCGACGAATTTTAATGCTTCAAAATATTTTCCATTTTGAACTCTATTTAGTATGATTTCTGACCATGTCATGAATTTGCCTACTTTGAAGGTATAGCCTGTTAACAGGAAAATCTTATTGTCATTAATGGCAAAATTCTTATCTGGTGGAATTAACATATCTTGTACTAATAAATCTACTGACGAAATGGTACATGACGTGCTTTTAAAATCTACAATAAAAAACTGATGTGATATCGTTAGGGCTCCAACAATGGTCTCAGAAATCCAAAAGATTGAAAGGATTGATTCGTCAAATTTTGATGTATATGATTTGAAGTTGAACTTAGGTACATGTACTACATTTATCTTCTTTATGTCACTGACCAATACCACCATTGTGGAGCCAATCGAATATGCAACATTAATGCCATTCTTATTCCATGAGATACAATTATTAACAAAACTATTGGAAATGCAATTTTTGGAAATGTTTTCTAGATATACTGTCGATAGGTATGGGGTTGTGGAGATGATTGCAAATTTCTTTGAGGTTAGAATTGCAACAAGATGGAATTCAGTTTTAATTTCTCCTTGAGGTGCAGTTTTTGAGCAAAGTAATTTCTCATTTGATGCTAACTTAACTAAATTTTTGGTTTTGTACGTTAGGTACCATATATGGTTTCTATAAGCGTCATGGAAATCCAAGGTTCCGGAGTTGTCACTGACTATCAATGCGGTATGCCTTGTACCTAAGAATCCTAATCCATTAATATCATTAGATATATGGTCATCGATGTGTAATATAGCATACAATGGCACGATTGATGTATCACTGACTGAAACATTGTGTTGAGTGTTGTTCTGATTGGAATTCAAGTCCCATAAGTATATATCATTTGTTTTGAAAGATGCAGCCAAGTAGGTCCCATCTGAACTAATGGCAATTGTTGAAACAGGTGATTTTAAATGACTTGAACTAGAATCATATGATAATTTTGGTATCAATATTGCTTTCAAATATTGTTTGGAGTTAAAAATTAAAATTGTCCCCTTAGTTGTCCCAATCACATAATAACCAAGAGTAGCTATAAAAGCAGAAGGACCTCCATAGGCCCCAATAGCTGTATAAATATTGGGTAATGTAGACCAAGTAATAAATCTTGAAATATTTCTTGAAACTTCAAGATCCTGATCTGGTACCTCCTCATTAGCAACAGAGCTTTCAATTACACTTGTATCTGCAGTGTGTATTTTGCTGTTTTCTGTCATATCACTAATACCATAATATGTATCATTTTGCTTTACTTTTAGTTCTTCCCCTTTATCTTGGTTTATATTTGATGATTCAACGTCGTCATGATTCATAATAATTATAATGTAGTAAGAATTTTAAAATGGAGATCGAAACTACTCCTAATTAACTATCAGTGAAGGTCAATATTAAGATTATTATAATTCAAAAATTAATATAGAATAATTATTGTATATGGATGCATCTATAACAATCAATACTGTTCGTATGCTGATTCTTTTTTCCATTCCTTTATTTTAGCTCTATTTTTCCATTTCCTAGGAAGTTGAATTTTTGTATGATAATTAATTGACGGTGCTATTTAAGGTTAGAAGAAAAAGTATATAAATACTATTACTCCCTTTATATGACAGGCTCTACTATTTAAGATGATATAGTAATAACAGTAGGATTAGAACCTTTGATTGGGTATTATTTAATTGATTAATATTTTTTTAATAAAAAAACAATTTATAAAGGTATTGTCATATATTATAAAATTGATTGAAGTCATTTTCTACCATTTCTACAACGACTAAAAATATATTAAATTAAGTGAAGTTTAGTACTAAATGAAGAAGATGGATGTTGGAATATATTTAAAGAAATGGAAGGGGAAAGAAATAGTAGAGTGAATAAGTTTAATAAAAATTTGATTGATGTTTCAAATAGAAATTGACAAACTTTCTTATAATTTTTGCATAGCAGCAACATCGGTAGATTGAACGTGGTCTTCATCTTCTTCAATAGATTGTTGTAAGTCATCCATGGAGACCTTGTCATCTTCAACAACACAGTTAATTTGTAATTTCTTGATACCGAAACCAATTGGGATGAATTGATGAGCACCCCAAGTCAAACCTTCGATTTCAACGGCTTTGACAAAAGCAAGCATAGCTTCTAAGTCAGTTTCATCATCCCAAGGTTTGACATCTAAAGTGACAATAGATTTAGCAGCTGGTTTTGGAGGTTTGGCGGCTTTTCTAGCATTGTATTCAGCTAATCTTTGAGCCTTCAATTTTTCAGCTTCTTCATCAACTTCGTCATCTGAACCAAATAAATCAACGTCGTCGTCATCTTCTCCTGCAGCAGTTGCAGATGGAACAGAACCTGTTGGTAAAGTAGCAACTTCATCGGATTTAGCAGCAACATGGTTGAACCATCTGGTAAACTCTGGGTAAGCTTTTTGGAAAGCCTTGTAAACAGTTACATCAGCTTGAGAAGCAGAAGAACTAATTTTAATAAGCAATAAAAAAATTAAAAAATATTAGTTAGTATAATTCTTGTTCAAAAAAAGTGACCGTAATTTCTCTTGACTTCCAATAAAAGTTGAATTCCAATTCATATCTAATCCATGGTAGATTAAAGGTTTCATTCCAATCCAAATTCGATATTAATATTGAATTTGAACTGGCTTTTAATTTGTATCCATCCAAAGTACACTGAAAGACACTTTATGTGTGCTTATCAATCAGTTGGACATTGATTGATAAAAAGATAATTGAATCAGAATAATCCTGAAAGTAATTGAATTCTTTATTTTATTTTATTATTACTTTGTTTGATATGTCACACATATATGGAATAATTGTGCCTTACTTTCCATCCTAAATATGAACCACGAGATTAGATTAGATTAAATTGGATTGGATTGATCTGATTTGGTCTGATTTGATTTGATTTGATTTGATTTGATTTGATTTGATAATTTATAATTGGAATTATGACGTCTAATAAAATATTTCTTGTATGGTTTCGCCAGTAATAGATAATTCTATGGAAAGTTCTAGATAATAGCGATATAATACCACAGTTGAATTGGGATCAATAGAAGAAAAAACTAAATAAACAAAACTAAACATACCCATCGACATAGGATTTATCAGTTAAGAAAATGTTTAATTGTTTCAAAGTTTCAATTTTAGAAAAGTCGGTAAAAGACATTATTAACAATAAAGGTTTGAATGGATAATAAGATGGTGTGGTATTATGGTATTAGCTGAAATAGATGATAAAACAGAGGTAGCAAGTCACGATGATAATATTTCAATATATAAATATAATTATATATATATGACAAGAACAAGTTTTTGGTTGCTATAAAGTTTGCGAATTAAAATTAGAAAGTGAATTCGAATTGTGATATGATATGGATAAGCTGAGATGGGAAATGAAGAAGCTGTGAAAAAGAGATAGTAGGGAACAGGTAGTAGAACTAGTAATGAATTTTAATTGAATGTAGAATTGTGTAAGCTAGAGTTAGATGGATCAATCAATCAATCAATGCGATACAATTGGTGTTGGTATTGACTGCAATTCAATGGTTTCGATAAATTTCAAAGGGCAGACATTCTGACGTGGAGACGGAGTAGAAGCACTATTAGCATTAGCATTAGCATTAGTACACGTTTATGTATATTTGTCTGCGTGATAGAACAAAACTGGTTTGGCAACACGACAGAGAGAGCAAGTATGGCTAGGTGGGTTCTGGTATTCTGGTTGGTATTTCCTGCAACAGTATGCGTCTGTCTCTGTCTCTGTCTCTGTCTCTCTTTCTGGTTTTTGTTTCAGAGCAATGGGAAGTGACCAGAGACGAGGCTGGGAGACAGAGAGTGGATGAGCTACAGCAACAGTGTAGCTTGGCAATGGATGATGGCAACAGAAAGAGAAAGAGAGGGTAACACCAACTATTAGATGGACTTTTGTGTCTGTCCTGTCGTGCGTCACGTGCTTATTTATTTGTTTGTCTGTCTGTGCGGTATGGTATGGTATGTATTGGTGCAAAATGTAAAAGTGGAAAAGTGCTAAAAAAGAGAAGATTACCCGGTCTGTACCTTCTGTCGTCTCTTCGCATCGCTCCCAACAAACAAACAAGCAAACAAACAGCAAATTTCATCTTTTTTCAATTCACCTTCATTTCATCGATTCTAATCCAAATACAATCAATCAATCTAAGAAATTCATATCATAGCTATAAACTCTCCATTATATCAATTTCGAACTATAATGATAACATGGAATATAATTACATGTATTTGTTCCTTTACTAGTACGTTGTAGTGATATACAAACACACATACATATACACATATACATATATACGTGTATCAAGGCCTGCAGTAGGTTTAGATCATTTTTGGTAATTAAACAATGTCTCAGCAATCACATCAACAGTTCTCACTCTACCAGAATCCCCAGCAACAGATGTTGCCTCAAGCTTATTTGACTAATTTTCATAATAGAATTAGAAATGAAGACGTTCCTTTATTTGTGACTGCTCAGCCAACAAGAGGTCATAAAAGAGCAAAGGTTGTCAACTACGCCGAAGTTGATACAGATATATTCGATGAATTTAATATTAGAGGTTTGGATTCAAGCGTGAATAATAGTAACAACAACAATAACACTAACAACACTAACAACACTAATAACAGTAATAATAATAATAATAATAATAATAGTAGTAATAATAATAACATTAATAATAATAACAACATCATCAATTCTACCTCTATTAATAACAACGCTAATGTTAGTAATATAAATTCAAGCAGCAGTAACAATATTAATAATATTACTGCCAACAATAGCAACACAAATATTAATGGAAACTTCGCTAATAATGGCATTTATAATATTGGTAGTGAAGATAATAGTGATGCCAATATCAAAAGTTTAAATAAATTCGACCAAGATAATCAAAATGCCTATATGAACGATGTAGCTAACAGTAATATTAACAATAATGATAATGGTGACGATGATAGTAATAATTCTAATAATAACGTTAATAACAACAATAATCCAGATGATGGAAACAACAATGAAGGTAATAATGATGAAAATTTAAATCAAGAAGAAATGGCGTTGAAAAGTGCCTTGCCTGATATTCAAGATCAAGATGAACAAATTAGTATTTTAAGATATCCTAAAATTAGAGAAACATTCTTACAAAGCAAAATTGCTACCCCTTATAGACTAAATGTACCCTCCTCATTTGCAATGGAAAAACAACAAGAGCCTATTATGATCCCAATATCTTTGAACTTAGAGCAAAGTGGCCATACCATTATTGATAATTTTACTTGGAATATCAACGATCATTCGATAACACCAGATGAATTCGCTACAATATATTGTAGGGATTTAGATTTCCCAAATTCAAATAATTTGCATTCCCAAATCGTCTCTACTATTAATGAACAAATTCAAGAACATGAAACTGTTGCAAGTGTTGTGGTACCTGACTTGCATGTTGTAATAAATTTAACATGTAACTTAGAAAATAGATTTTATGAAGATAATTTTCAATGGAACTTAAATGATAAAAGTTTATCTCCAGAAAAGTTTGCCGAAACAGTAGTCAAAGATTTGGGCTTAACTAGAGAGTATATGCCTGCTATAGCGCACGCTTTGCATGAATACCTAATACGTGTTAAAAAAGAATGGATGGAAGGTCAGCTAAATCAAGATCATGTTCCAAATGGCACAGCGTTTGGTTATTTATCTGGTATTAGATTAGATCTAGACAGTATGGGTGCAGATTGGTGTCCAAAGGTCGAAGCCTTAACTCCTGAAGAAATCCAAAGACGTGAGATTGAAAAGGAAAGAAATATGAGAAGATTGAAGAGAGAATCAGATAGAATGGGAAGAAGAGGTAGAAGAAGGATGGATGATTTAGAAACCACATTAAGAATTTAAGTGCATGAAATTTTAACATACTGTATTATTACTGTTATTATTAATATTATTATTGTCAGAACTTTCCAGGTGGATTTGTTAACTGGAAAATACTGTATTTATAAATCATAGATATATATTTAATACATGTAATTAGTATCTAACTATAAAATACATCTGAAATAAAATTACTTAATCATATTTTGATACAAATTTCATTTACGCGTTTATTATACAATTTAAGTATTAAGTAAATAACGATATCAAGAAATATAAAAGTGTAAAGAACGCAGACAAAGATAATAATGAAATGGTTGGAAGTATATCTTTCAAGATTACCTACTAGTTGGAAAGATCTATTAATTGGTTTGTTTTAGTAGTCAAATAGAGATATTTGGAAGCAGTGCTATGTCTTCTGAGCAGCTTACAGAACAACATCTTTCTGGGGCTCTAATAACAAGTCATCTAACATTACAACAGTTTAAGGATCTAATTTCCGATACTGGAATAGAATCAGAAAGTTTAGATGGTAACGTTGAATCATGGTACCAACATCTCATGGAACGTGATTCACATCTGAGAGAAAATATTTCTAAAGAGGTTCGTTCATTCATATCAAGAACAAAAGAAACTCAAATTAAAGAGTTAGAAGATTTACAATCATCAAAAACTTTTACTTTAGAGGAGCTAATTAACCATCTCTATTCTATCGATCAGATTTTGAATATAAAGCTCAAAAATCTAGATGATGAGATATCAGAAAACACAGTAAAGTTTAAAAAGTTAAATGATATGATCCTTCAATCAAATAATGATACCTCTGATGGGAACAGTAGTGCTGATATTACAGATACACTTGAAACTATTAAAAAATATAAATCCATGATATCTAATGATATAGATGATCCAATATGAGCCTTTAATCATTTATGAATTTTATCTGGTTGCATCAGATTCCTTGCATCCAGAAACCATGTGGTCTGCAGTATATTTACTTATTAATTGATAATAAGCTTTATTTTATTCTACTAAAATATTCATTCACAATTATCAATGGATTTGTTAATAATATGTTTCCGAATCAAACCTCCTCTAAGTGTCATTCACTAATTATATTGAATAATTGCATTCGATGATTGGTTTATATTTACATCTCTATTTCATGGCCTGTTAAATTAATTTGAATGAAATTCAGGAGTATTCAAGTATTGCTATGGACTAATCTTATTATGATGCAAATATCAATTTTATTTTTGATATTTGGAATAAACATGGAATGTAAATTGGTATACCTGGAAACCAAAGAAAAACATAAGGGTATGTAACGTAGCAAATTACTGACCAGGTATTTTATTCACAGTTTTTGTTTGGAAACCTAGTTCCAAGTATATAATGTGATATATATAATTGATATTTTCAGTCACTTTACTCATTATTTTTATATAGAAAAATAAGTATCTTTAGTGCACTAAATAATAAGGTTATGTGACGCATTGGACTTTGGTGCCTCATATTGCATCTTAATTGGAAAAGATAACTTATATTTTACAAGAAATATGACTGCAATTATTGAGAATTTATTTTATATTTTTATTTAGATTTAAACATTTTAATAGCTTTCGACCAAAGTATCTGAATAAAAGCACCAAGGAACAAATTTCTAAATAAATATACAGGTCACTTTCACCTAACAAATGAAACATTTCCCTACTAATAGAGAAATAAAATTCAAGTGAGTCTCAAACAACCATATTTTAGTATTCCAATTATTTAATATTTTTTTGAGGCGTTTGAGAATTTGTTATAGTTTGGTTCATTTATAAAAGTGTCAATAATTATGATATTAATAATTTAAAGTAAAATTTAATACTCCTCAATATAAATAATGACTCTAGTAATAAATCTAATGTTTTCTTCAAGTAATAACATATACTATATATAAATATACAGTTTTCCTGACCAAGAGGGCATGTTTAATAGAATTAACTTGATATCTCTTATTCTTGATGAATTGAGTTCAAAGGTTTCTATGATACTAGATCAGATAAAAAACAAGATATTTAACATAGACTACCATTCCAGTTTTAAATTGTTTTTTCATTAATGCGGTCAATATTTTAAACAATTATTAAGCAGTATTCTATTTTATTAGTTGTATATCAATTGTTAAATTTTGTCATACACTTAACCCACTTAATTGGTCAATATTTACGCGCATACAAAAATCCAAATAGTCCATACAAAAAGTTATTCATACTGTTTCTATCCAGATCTTACTTGAAGGTTTCAGTTATAGATATATTTATGCATATATCTATATATTCATATATCAAATAGTCGAGTCAACAAACTACATTTCCAGCTTAATGAATTAAAGTATTAACAAGGGATCAAACCTCTTTTTAGTTAATGAAAAGTTTATATGAATACATTTCACATATTTGTAATAACGATGAGAATAAAAGTATTGAATTCGAAAATTTACTATTAAGTGGTCATTTAACTGGATTTAACAATTTTCTATTTTCTGGTATAATAATTGAGAATTCTGAAAGCATTGGTATTCCTCAAATTCCCTCTTCGAATTTAGAGCATAAGGCCATAATAGATGAAACAATTGTATTTCTCTTAAAGAACAAATTATTTAATAATGTCTTAACATATGGATATAGATTAGCCAAGAACTTTGATGTGACGACAGCATTACATTGTGAATCGGTAAATAGCAATGTACAGATAATCAATAATTCCACTTGGAAGATTTTACGTAATCTAATTGGAAATTCGAATTTTGTTAATATATTAGTTAATTTTACGGTTATTCTCATTACTGATGACACTTTTATGCAAGTAATTGGCAATCGTATGAATATGAAGAATAAACTACCAACTAAACCCATCGTTTCATCCGATGGGGAATATTTATTGAATTTATTGTATTCACCAATAAATGTTAAAAATTATTTGCATAAAAACTCATGGGAATTTAGATACTACAATATTTTACCTAAAGTTGGTCATATAGATGAACTTAGAGAATTGATTTTTAGTCCAACTTTAATGAAGATCTCAAGGTTGTTAAAAAAAAACATTAATGAAATGCTTAGTCAAATAGTATCAAATCATAAAAAATCAATAAAGTACCTTAATATATTAAATAATATTTGTCCAGCAAATACTGACCCAGAAATACCTCATTTAGAAAGACAAATTAACCCAAAGGATGTGAACAGATTTTTAATAGTAATTTTAGAGAAATTACTACCAAAGGATTGTTTGGGATCATCTAAAAATAAAAGCTACTTATTTTCAAAAATATCGAAATTAATAAATCTGCCAATGTATTCTAATATGTCGTTTATTGAAATAGTAGAGGGATTAAAAACCAACGATTTTAAGATTTTTACATCTGGGAAGAAATTAAGTTTGCCTGAATTTAATAAATTAAAACTAATAATCCACCAATTCACCTCATGGATATTTCGTTTTTTAGTTCCAAATATTATCTCGACATTTTTTTATTGTACTAATGTATCATCTGGAATTGAAATAATATTTTTCAGACATGACGTCTGGAATAAAATCTCAATGAAGTTTTTAGATGGATACTTTTCAGAATATATGATTGAAAACTCTGTCTGTAAAAACCATGAGAGCTACACATTGTCAGAATATAATCACAGCAAATTGAGGGTTATTCCAAAGAGTGCAAAAGATGAGTTTCGTACGTTGGCAATTCCACTAAAGGGTATGGATTCCGATGAACTAATTGCTTATAAGGAAAACAACAAGAATATAATCGAACCTGTGAAGGCAATTTTAGAATATCTTAGAAGCTGTAGAAAAACCCACTTTAACAAGCTTTATTCTACATCAGAAATTTCTGACTACATAAACTTATTCGAAAGGCAATTATTAAAGCAATTTAGCTTTCTCCCGGTGTTACATGTAATAAAGTTTGACATCAAATCTTGTTATGATAGCTTGCCTAGAATAAAATTGATTGAAGTACTGCAAAAGTTACTGGAATGTGAGAAGGGATTTTATGTAAGGTCACAATCGTTTTATGATCTTAATAAGAAAATTTTACAAACAAAATTTATTGTAAATGGTAGTAGAAAACCAAAAGATTCAGAAATTTATATCGATAATGTTAAGACAACCTTCTTTTCAAAAGAAGACTTATTAGAAGTTGTCAAAACAGAAATATTTAAAACATCACTGGTATATGGGGACAAATGTTATCTAAGAAAAGACGGTTTATTTCAGGGTTCTTCATTGTCTGCTCTCCTAGTAGACTTATTATATGATGACCTTCTTGAATATTACCCAATATTTAGACAAATTAGCGGAGAACATTCAATAGTTCTACGATTAGCGGATGATTTCCTGATAATTACAACGAGCCAGTCCCAATTTATGGAATTGAAATGTTTGTGTACAAACGGATTCAAAGAGTATGGTGCTATTCTGAATTCTGATAAAATAGTTTACAATTCTACAAATTCTAAAAAAGTGAATATCATTAGCTTTTGTGCAGTTAATATTTGTATCAATTCCTTAAATGTCTGGAAGCATTCTAAGGAATTTAATGTCCCGCTAATCAATTTAACCTCACCGAAAATGATATATAGAAGATTAAATTCCCTTTTTAAAATGCGTCTAAGCTATGCTATTACCTCTCCATACCCTTCAAGGACCAAACTTGTACTTATGCAACTATATCATGTATCCAAGAACGTGTCAGTAATTTATAAAAAAGCATTTGAGAAAAAAAAAATAATTAAAGAAGATTTTGGTAGATTCATGGAAAGTATTATAGAAACCACCATGAATACATTTCCTGAACTGTCAGATAATCAAGAATTTTTGAACTGTGTTCGAACAGTAATCGACGTCACTTTCTTTAGGACATTAGTGCCCAACAGATACAGGTATAAAAATGCTCTTTCCTATTTAAAATGTAGAAAACTTAAACATGCTAAATACATATACGAGAGTTAAACATCAAACAGTAATATTTCTTTAATGTTTTATTTCAAATAATAACCATTCTCAGAAAGCTCCAAATGTAGTACGTAAATTCTCCTCATCTTTCTCTCTTCTTAATCTTTCAATTTCCTCAATACCTCCTGACTTTTTGAAGTTAGACTTTTCTACAAAGCTTCCTAATTCATCTTCAAACTCATCCGTATCTCTATATTCCCTTTCAATCTGCCAGAGTTTTTGTGCCTTTTCTAAAGCGTCTACCCTTCCTTCATGGTTTGGATTTAATGATTGTACTTCAACCAGTAATTGATCTCTTACTTGGTTCATAGTTCCTGGTTTCGGTATTGGTAATATTGGATTATTTCTTATCTTTTTTGGATTCTTTTCTTGTTCCTCACAACACAGTTTAACCAGATCATACGTTTCGGAGGCTTTAGCCAAATCCTCACTCAAATCAAAGGTCAAATCCTCTTGTAAAGTTAAGAATTGTTGTTCTTCACAAACTTTATCCAGTTCTGATTCCCACGATTTTTTCCAAGTCGGTTTTTCAGTCGCAATAAATGATTGCATTTTGCTTAGATCATCTTCAGCTGATTTTAATTGTTTGAAAACAACATCCAGTCTCTTTCTAGTAGGTTTGACACCACGGTCTGCAACATCTTTTCTTAGTACTTCAATAACATCTTGTAAATCATCTACTCTAGTCAATAAGGAGTCAGAAATATCTCCTAACTTTGTTTGTGATTTTTCCATATAAGATCTATCAGATGAATTATTTATATCAAAGGTAGAAGATTTAAATTTATTAATTTTTTCCAATAAACTTGAAATAGTATCTTGATAATATTTACTTTCATCTCTTTTTATTTGTTTTAATATTGATAGGTCCCTTTTAAAATCTTGTAAGCCCTTTTTATCCACACCATTTCCTGATTTATTGTGTCCTAGATCTGATGATGGTTCAGATTGTGGTGCAGTTAGAGGTAAAGATTGTAGCTCGTTTAATAAGCTTTGAGTCGACTTTGAGATCTCCATTTTGATTATTTTAGTTACCTCAGTTAGATCGATTTTGCTTAAATTATTATTGACAGAACGCAACTCCAACACAGATCCTTCACTTATCTCATTAAAGTTATGTGAATCCAATTCAAAATATTCCGAAAATTTAGTATCTTTAATATAAATGTCTGGAAAGACGTCCTTTTTAGGCGAATATGCAAATTCTTTAACAAACAATAATCTTAGCTCATTGATGTTTGACGGCAGAGGCGTATAGCACTTTTTTGTTTTATCACCAACCCTTAAGAATAAAAATCCTTGTTTCGGTGTTGAATTTTCTGAACCAGCTGTGGTAACATTAGAATCAGCTTGTACTTGAGATGCTGTTGAGAAAGGTTGATCTTTGTTATTTCCTGCTTGATACTCATCTGTAGCTGTCATATAAGTTGAGTGTGGAATAGGAGAACCTGCGTCTGTAGCAGACTGACTTGTTAGTTTTGCAATTTGATATGCAGAAAATCTCTTTGATGCACGTCTTTGCAAATTTGTACTATTTCTTAATTGAAGTAGTACATCATTTTCAGACTCATCACCTGTATTAGAATCTCTATTAATATAATGTTCATTTTCGTTTTCGTTTTCGTTTTCGTTTACGTTTTCAATTTCATTTTCATTTTTATTTACGTTTTGATTTACCTTTTCATTTTCAATTTCATTTTCATTTATCTTTTCTCTTTCAATTTCATTTTCCTTCTCATTTTCATTACTGCAATCTTCATTATTAAGACTTTTGCTCCTTCTGTGAATATCGATATCTTCAGACAATCTTTCAGTTTTTTTAGAGTCCGCATATATTGTCCCATATATTTGAGACACTGGAGTGCCTTCATCTTTGCTATCATTTGAGCTATTATTCTTATTTGTGAAGATACTAGGGGTTCTGCTATTGGTTGCAATGCTGGTGGAAGAATTAATAGAAGTGTTACTAACAACTGATTCTGTTTTCCTATGAGTTTGCGAAGAATTTAGTGAAGAATGAGATGCATTACGGGAATGTGATTGAATTTGATAATTTTCTTGTTTGATATTTTTCAATTCAGCTTGTTTAACTTTCAACTTATCTAGTAATGTTACAATAATTTCCCTAATGGTAGGCAAATATTTATTCAAAGTTACCTCAGCAGGAGGTTCCCTTAATGCACTCTCCAATACTTTTCTTAAACTTCTTGGCAAATCAGTCAAGTCAGAAACATCAACTCCCAAATGCTTAAAAAATTTCGAAACCACTTTTAAATTATTACCCAATTGAACATATGCATCAGAAACTGTCTTTTCAGAAGTAACACCTTTTGACCATTGAGTTAACGTCTGTAACAAATGTTTAGTAGAAATCAGTAATTTTGTAACAGTACTTTCAACACTTGCATTATTAGCAACTGGACTCTTTAACCCTGAAGAAGAACCCAAAGAAGAACTCGAATTCCTAACTGATTCATCTGAACTGCTCTGCATAACTGATAATATCAGTAAAATTTTAATGCCTTATACTCAATTAAAATTATAATAACAATAACAATACAAATAAGAACTGATAATATACAGAAATATCTTGTAGAATATTCTATTCTAACCACTTTCTATACCTTTCTTATCTAACTTTCTTGATCTGTTTATTTTTATATTTGGTCTCTTTAATTTTTTTGATATTTCATTATCTTATAGTGAAAAAAAAGGTTCCTGATTCTCAATCTTTAATAGCTGTTAAAGAGAGGGTTGAAGGGGAGGAGGTGACAGAGAGTTGAATATATCTTTAAAGAATGACATTAAATCAATTGAATGGTTTATGGTGGTTATTTTAGAATTAAAATTATTAATCTAATTCATTAGTTATATATATGTGTATTCTGGTTTTGTTTCCCGTTTCAATAACCGTTGGATTATTTAGATATTTATATGTACATATATACATATATATGCATTTAATATTTTATATAAAATTTGTTAGAGATTGTTTTTGAAATTAGTATTAATTATTTATTATTTTGTGATAGCCTTTTCTGCCTCTAGTTTATCTAAATGTTTCTTTAAATCTGTTAATGTTACAATTCTTTGTAATAATTCTTCGTGTTTTTCTAGTACATTAGAGGTTAACATTGCAGGTCTTATTGGTAATCCTAATTCTTGCATTGTCGTATTCACTTTATTTTGAAGTGCTGGTTTAAATGTGGATATTTTGGTCGATCTCATATATGGTCCTGGTAATAGTTTCTCCCCATGAGCTTTTACACCTAATGAATTTTTCTCTTCCTTATTGAAATTTTGTAATAATTGTTCTGCATATGCACTTTCTGCTTTTCTCTTCATTGCTGTTTGCATCTCTAACTTTTGTTTTTTTGTCTTCCTTGGTGATACTGAATCAGAGTTTTCCAAGATTTGATTTTGAAGTTGTTGAAGTTGCTGTAGTTGCTGTGATTGTTGTGATTGTGGCGGTAGCTGTTGCTGTAGTTCCTGTTGCTGCTGCTGCTGTTGTTGTTGAAGTAATTGTTTATTGCCATGCATTTGTTGCAATCTTTGTCTTTGTTGTGCAAACTGCTCTTGCTGCTTCATCCATGGATTTTCTGGAACCGTAGTGGTGTGCTTTCTCTTTCTCGATTTATCGGATAACAGACTGTTATAGAGTTGTGAAATTCCATGAGAAGTCAAAAATTGTCCTACTGAATGATTGGAGTTTGGAGAATCTAGAAGTCTTAATAAGTTTTCCCTTTCATTTAATGTTTTCTTTGCCGCCATCTCGAATTTTCTTGATTCTATGATCAAGGCTTCTTCTTCTGCAATTTCTGCTGCAGAACGAGCTAGCAATCTTTCCAAGTATTTTTTTCTCTCTAGTTCTTTCTCTTTTGGAAAATTTAAGCTTGCTAATAGGGGATCATCTGCTTTTTTATTTCTAAAATAATGTTGACAAACTTTATAAAATTCCTCTTTTAGATCATCAATGGTTCTACTTTCATTATAAGTATACCTGTCATGTATCACTGGCCATTTCATGTCATATTTTTTGCATAAGCCAAATAAATAATCCACTTCTTCAAATTCCCAATTATTATTTTTTTTTAACTCAACTTCTTCTACAGTCTCTGATGGCTTCTTTTCATCATCAGTACCAACAGGGATTTTTGCATCTGCATCCTTTGTATCATCACTTAGATCAGAAGTTTCCACCTTTTTTGCTTCCCCACCATCATCTTGTTTATTTTCTTCTTCATTTGATACTGAATTTGCACTTACAACTATACTTGTTGTTTCAGTTTTGGGTTCCATAAAAACATCATATTCTTCCTTCGTGAATGATGGGATAGTTAGATGCTTGTTATATTTAGTATATGAAGATTCCGGAATATCATCACCTAATAATTCCCTTGAACCTTTAACCCAATGCTTAAACTTTAAAGTGGGAGTTGCCTGAAATTCTGCCAGGGTCCAAGGAGAAGGCTTGACATTAATATTAATCTTTTCTTTAAAACGATTATTGGCTTGAACCATAATAGGTGGTTGATTTTCTCCTAATAAGTTGTATAATTCTCTTTGCATACCAGTAACTTGAGGTTTACTAGCATTTTTACCCATCAATGCAGGAGATGGAGAAGATGTCCTTTCAGTAGGACTCTTCGATTTTTGCTGAATATTCAGTACATCAAAAATATCTGAAGATGCCATTCTTAACTATCTAGTTCTTCTACTTCAAATAATGACAATTCCTACCAATATTATTTGTTATATATATGAATATGTAAAATATTTCACACAGATATAATAACCTCTTGAAATATTAAAAAAGCTTCATTAACAAACAAAGCCAAATAAAACAGACAATAATAAATCACTCCAGTAAACTAAATCCCAATAAGTACCTCCTCAAGTGCCTTTGGCTTCCTTTCCTATGGTTCTAGTCTTGTTCAAGTGTTTGTTCAATTTCTCTTTAAAATATCAAAACTGAATATCTAAAAGCTTTAAGATATTTCCAAATTTCGAAAATGTTTAAGCTTAAGAGATGATGATGATTTAAAGCAGCAAAAGAACAGAATTGAGGTATATGAGTAGGTGATCGGTACCAATAATTTGGTGGGTTTAGGTATATTTTGCATGTTGATACTAAGTTTCAGTTTTGATTTTAGTTAATTGGTGTCGGGATAGATATATTGCCAAAAGTTTTGCTAAATTGAGGTGAACAGGCTATAGTTTTAAAGGTAAATAAAAAAGAACAATAGAAGCAAGAATAAGGATTATAAGGGGGGTTATGTTATCATCCAAGAGAATGAAGATTAGAGTCCCAGACAGGACTAGAATGTCTGGTGGCGATTTTGAAGAGTCGTGGATTTCTTTGGAAAGTGCATTTCGCATGATTTTTAAAAATGATGTCAATGAATTATCCTATCAAGATCTATATCGTACTGTTTATCTACAAACTGTAAGAGGCAAAGCAGATGTGTTATACCAAAAGATTGAAGAATTTGTTAGGGAACAAATTAAATTGGCGTATTCAGAGAATGTTTTGAACAGTGGTGCCAATAACCCTAAGGACGACAGCAATAACAGTGATGATTCCTATAATTACTTATTGAAAATGTCAAAATTATGGAAATTTGAATGTAATTGTTTTAAATCATTATCTAGTGTTTTATTATATTTGGATAAAGTTTATTCCAAGAAGAATAAGAAATTAGAAATTTATGATCTCTGTTTGGAATTATTTAAAACTAATCTTTTAAACCCAGCGAAGGAACAGTTGTTAAAGGCCATAATAATTGATATTAATAATATTCGAAATTTGAAATCTATTAATAATGACCATATTGATATTTGGAGACAAATTATTTCAATGTTAGAGACCATCGAAGAGAAGAAGGATAATTATTTTATTAACCATTTTGAAAATCCATTAGTAGTAGAGTCAGAGAAATATTATGATGAACAAATTTCTCTAGAAAATGTACCATTTAAAGAATATTTGAAAAATATAGAAGAATTAACTAAATTTGAATTTGACTTAGATATTAAATTTGTAAACACCGATACTGCATCGAAAATCAAATCTGCATTGGATGAATCATTAGTATGGAAACGAGTATCAAAAGACCTACCAACATATATACGTTTTTGCATTAAAGAGAATGATCCTTCAATTTTACAAAAACTATACGATTTATCGTCAAAAGAAGAAAACATGGTATCTATTATTGAAGCATTAAAATTATGTATAGAGAGAGATTTAGAGTCAATTATAATTGACACTAATATGAAGAAAAAAAATATTGTAGCTAACAAATGGGCATCGTCATTAATTGAGATTTATAATTACTACGACAAGTTTCTAAATGATTTTGATTTTGGTAATGTGAATTTACAAGATAAAGATGCAAATTCAAGTCAACTATTTTCACAGATTATTTTAAGTGTTTTTTCAGGTTATATGTGCAAAAATTCTTTGCTTTATACTGAATTGGTTACTATATATTTGGATAGTTATTTGAAAAATCTTGAAGATAATAATGCTATCTCTGAAGCTAAAAATCATCTAGACCAATATGTGAGAATATTTATTACATTACCTGAGAAGGATGTATTTGAATCACAATATAGAAAATTTCTCTCAAGAAGGTTACTTCAACAAAGATCCATATTTAACCTTGAGAAATGGTTAGTACAAAGGTTTAAAGAGGAATTAGGAACTTTTTTCACTTCTAAAATGGAGGGTATGTTAAGGGACATCAATAATTCAAAAGATTTATTGCGTTCGTTTAAAAATTCGAATTCAAATACCAATTCATTGATAAATCTAAACTTGAATTATAATCCTGAAATTTTGACGGCAATATCATGGCCATTTAACAATAATAATCAAGATAATAATGAAATTATTCTACCAGTTAAACTTAAAGAAGTTCAAGAAGACTTTGAAAAATTTTATAAGAAAAAATATAGTCAGAGAACATTAACATGGTCACCAACTTTAAGCATGATTGAAGTTAGTTATCAATTTGATAAAACTCAACATGATTTGATATTGCCATTTTATTCAGCAATAATATTTTTATTATTTGAAGAATATGATCAATTAAGCCTTGAAAAAATATCAGAATTAACAAATATACCAAATCAAGAACTAATACGTCATTTATTATCACTATCAATAGCACCAAGAGCCAAACTTCTGACCAAAGAACCACCAACAAGAAATATTTCACCAAATGATAAATTTTCAATTAATAAATCATTTACAGCTTCAACAAGATACATTAAGATTCAGACAGTTAATTTAGTGCCTAATTCATCAAATAATGCAAGTAATAACAATAATAACGATGAATTATTACAAAGAGAAAGACTCCAAGAGGTAAATGCCTCAGTAATTAGAGAAATGAAATCAAACAAAATATTGACTATCAATGAATTAGAATCAACAATCACAAATATAGTAAAGGATAGATTCCAATTACAGCATAATCTCTTCATTAAAAGTATTGACTATTTAATTGATAAAGAATATCTACAAAAGGACATTGATGACACGGAATTGTTACACTACCTGCCATAACTTTATTATATATAAATATATATATATATATATATATATATATATATTTATATATCTGTATATAATCTATATATCTGGATTCAGGAATAATGAAAAGAATATTGATCGATCGATCGATAAATTGATGCTATTATAACCATTTATAGATAGTTTCTATATTTCTACGATTCGAAAATCTTGTCATGTAATACCATCGTTTGTCCTTAGTCAATGATTTATAATGTCCATTAGTAGAAATTTTAAGGTACTACAAATCGATTGATTATTTAAATGATGATTATGGTGATGAATCAATTAAATTTGGTTGCTAATTTGTTGAAGTTTCAGTAAAATGTTCTTGTCACATTATCAGTCGGTGGTAAATCAAGATGGATTGATACAGTTCAGGTCAATGCTTAAAAAGTGATTGATTTATTCTATATAGTTGATGTATGTATAGAAGGGAGAGGGATAACGAGAGATAGAGAGAGTGTGTCACGATATCACTTAAAGAGTCAATTGTCGACTCTTGAACACTTGAAGTTATATACCTTATATATATATATATAAAGAAGTGTACTCTATTAGATTATTAGATTAGCAATTTATTTTAATTATATATCATATTGGCGTACTTTAAATTATTTTATAATTTGTGTTGCTTTTGTTGTTATTGTTATTGTTATTGTTGCTGTAGTTGTAGTTGTAGTTGTAGTTGCTGTAAATTAAAGGATACTTGTATAAGAAGGATGAATAAAGAAAGTGTCAATAATAGTGGTGTTTATGGCGATGATGGTTGTGATGATCCAAAGACCGTCAGAGCTAAGATACTTGATGATCAAACAAATTCGATCGACAAAAGGGGTTTATCCGGTAATAATAAAGACCCATTAAGAAGTGTTTTAAAATATAATAATGGTGCCTACAATGGTCATAAATCAATTGTTTCATCACCATTGTTAGCTTCAACACCAATTATTATTTCAAAAAGTTTAATTCGATTATATCCATATCTGATATTGACAGATTATTTATTAGGTATTATTACATGGTCAAATGAAAGTAAAATTGCAAGTGTATCTTTAATAATATTCTATGTCCTTTAGGTCATATATTTTCAAATTATTACGAAAATATTTTGGTCAAATTTTAATTGTTGCCATGGTTTGGGGTTTTTCATGGCTTAAATCAATATGTAGAGGAAAAAATGGCTTTAAATCCAACATTGGAAGAAGTATTCCAAATAATGAAATAAGTTTACGTATAAGTTTGAATTCATTTTTTTCGCCCATTTATAGATTTAAAATTTCAAAAATGTTCCAAAATTAATTTTTTACGGCCATTTTTTTTTCCCCCAATTTTTTGATT